GAATTTGAGTTTCCAAAAGCAGTAGAAAGTATTGTTTATAGGTGTCCAATATCTATATTTGGTGGTTTCACGCAATATTATACAATTCCAATAACAAATGATGCTGATGTTGTACAGATGTTTCAAATACATCACCAATGTCATCCACCAACTCCTGCCATTGATTTATATGTTGTTTTCAAAGAAATTGCAATTAATATTGAAGAAGAAGATAAGGATGCATATGCAAGTACTGTCCCAAATAGAGAGGTAGAATGAATAAATGTCAACAATGAAAGTGGTGACTCTGAATATGAAGGAGAATATGAAAATGGTGAACTGAGTGAAGATGAAGATGTAGATGATGATGGTGATGACGAGGTCTAATTATCAAACACAGTGATTGGACAACATCCATTTGGAGAGCCACCTTTCATGCATTCATTAAATCTCAATGCTATGCATGCCTCTGAGTTTTCAGATTATGCAAATTTAGGTATGTGTTATTTTTAACAATTTTGTTGATGAATAAAAATATAATTTTTTAATTTAGTATACTTGTGTTTGCATTTGATAGGTAATTTTGATTTAGACGGAGACTTGTATGTTGGAAAACAATTTGTTGATAGAAAAACTGTTATACGAGCAATTAAGTGTTATAGTATAGCAAATGGAGTGGACTACAAAGTGGTTGAGTAAGAACCAAGTACATTTTATTGTAAATGTGTGAGGTATGGAATTGATTGTGGATGGCTTGTTCGTGCTACTTTTAGAAAGAACGAGTTTATTTGCGAGATTAGAAAGTACAATGGTCTGCACACATGTACAGGAGGAAGAATTTCTCAAGACCACACCAAATTGGATTCCGACACAATTGCAGAATGTATAAAGCCAATGGTTGAGTCTGACACTTCCTTTAAGATAAAGCTCGTTATTGGTGAAATTCAGTCTCGATATGGGTACACAATAACATATAGGAAAGCATGGATGGGAAAGCAAAAGGCAATTGAAAAAGTTTATGGTTAATGGAAAGTCTCGTTTGAAGCTTTGCCGCAATGGTATGCAGCAATGTGTGACTGTGTTCGAGGCTCCGTTGTTCAGTTGGATGTTGTAGATTCCTATCGTGTTAATGAGTTAATTCCCAATGTTAAAATATTTTGTCGAGTGTTTTGTGCAAGTAGCATACAAACATCTTCTAATGTAATTATGCATTCTCTGCAAAGTAAATGAAATGTGTGCGTTTCAGGCCTCCTCCAACGTTCGACAAGTGCATTAATCAAAGGACCGTTTATTTGCATATGACAAATTTTACAAACTTGATCAAACCCAGCATTGCGTAATATGTCATTTATTTCTTCTCTAGGTGGCATTATGGATAAGTGGCAAGAACGTAATTGTCTCATCTCCTGTCATAAAAAATTTATATTGGTCCACACAAAATTATTATGTCAAATTTATAAACAAAAAATATAAAAAAAATATAATTTATTAAATTTACTAACCAATTATAGCTAAATAATAATAAAATTCCAGTCCAACAATAAAATAATAATAATAATAATAATAATAATAATAATAATAATAATAATAATAATAACACAACTAGAAATATAACATAAACAATTTCATTATCATAAAATTTATACAAATAGAAAGTTAGAAATAGAATTTTATCTAACTTGCCGTACTTTTTTTTATTTGTTATTTATATTAAACATTCAATTAATAATATATGAAAAACTTGTTTTAAATTGACTAGAAATAATTATAAATATAACATAAATTTTTGCATTACAATAAATATGTTATAAATTATTATATTTACTAACTAATTATACAAAATCAAATAAATTACATTTTTTTAACTAATTTATAATATTTTTAGAATATGTTAATAAATGTCAAAAACACTAATTACAAAATTAATTTAATTTATTTGTGGTATGTGTAAAATAAATATGCTTTTATTAACTATCCATTTTTAGACTCTATTTTTTGTTAATTTTTTATATTAAATAATTTCAATTATTACTCAATATAATTTGTTTCCAAATTTATCAAAATAATAACAATTTATTATATTACCATAAATGTATATTTCAAAGTTTATATTAATTAACTATTTATACTAATAAATAATTGTTACGTCATTTTTCCAAAAATAATATAATTTAATAATTATGTTAAGACATATAAAATAATTAATTATAATTATTTCACAATTTTAACTTAACTATATAAATAAATGCAGATTTTATTCCCAATTACTCAAAATTATAAATATATTTACCAAAATTGTAATCAAATCTAAATTCAAAATTAAATTTAAAAATTAACAAAAATATTAAACTCATATTTAAATTGCAGATTTTCTCTAAAATATGCATCCTTGAATCTAAAGTAAAATCTCTAACCATCTTAAAAAATAAATTAAAAAAAATTACACTCAATATTTTTCTTAAAATTATTCTTCACCTTTCTTCAACCTCACAAATCACACTTCCTTTTTCTTCTCTGATATCCTTCTTCACAACCCTCTCAGAACCCTCACACAGTTTCACTTTGCCTTTCTTCTTCACACATGGTTTTCGCTCAACTAGAGTGCCATTTATAGCATAAAAACTCACCACTGGCGATTTTTGACTCCACCATTACACATGCTTCCAGACAATAGTCATTTTTGCAGAGATTCTTGAAGCAAAAATTGCCATTAGCGGTTTTTAGATCTGAGAGATGCTTGACCAGCGTGAAGATCTACAAAAACGGGCAGAATAGTGATTTTTCAGAGATTCCTGATGCAAAAGTCGTCATTGGCGATTTTTCAGATCTGAGAGATGCCAGGCAAGCGTGAACATCTACAATTGCAAGTGAAACAAATTTTACAGGGTCAAAAATCGCCATTAGTGATTTTTCAGAGCATTCAGACTTCATTAATGGTGTTCAGGTTGTTGCAGAAGTGTTGCAGGTCATTTAGACATCATTAATGGCGTTCAAAGGTCGCCGGTGGTGAGTTTTTAGGCGCCTGAGAGTTCAGCCTGAGGTTATTCAAGTTTGCAATTTACATGTTTTTTTTTTGTTTCATGAAAAAATCGCCAATGACGTTTTTTAGAACACCATATTTATGTATTTTTGTAAAAAATATAATATTTTATGTATTCTATTAACTTGTTACCATATTTAAATTATTGTCCCGTAGAGCATTTGGAAATGCATTTAAACAGAGTAAGTCTTATAAAGTATAAATAAAACTATTAAAAATAAGCAAACTTATAAAGTAAAAAATATTTTTTCTCTCCATTTTATTTTGTTCCTTATTGTTTTTATTGGCTTTTTAATTTGCTTTAGTTAATGGTTTTATTAATTAAAAAGAGGCTATCAACGTTTACAAATTTGTGTGTGCGGTTAGTTTTTTATTTTATAAAAAAAATATTAAAATGTGTAAATATTCAAATTTAATATCTACTGTGTATTAAATATAAAAATATAAATTTTTACTTAATTAAAAATATTATTATGATGAACGATATAAAATTTTGAATAAAAATATAACTAAAAATTATAAATTAACCATGTAATAATTAAACATAAGTGGTGATTTGTTTTAATTATTGAAGAAATAACTTACAGAATTCACAGTAAAATTAAACAAGTTAGTGTGCCCATAACTCTTATCACTAAATCCTTGTAATTTTACAAACTAAAACAATAATAATAAAAATATTAATTTTCTTTATTTATATTTTTGGTGGAAGGCTCCAATTTTCTTGATGCCTTAATTGACACGGCTATTAGAACATAAAACACGCCCACAAGAAAAAATAAAACGACTTTATAGACAGCATAGTCATGAATTGAATGAACAAAAGAAAAGGAAAAAGCAGGGCAACCCCACCATAGCAACGACTTGTTGACTTCATGGGTTGACTTGACCCATCAAATAACCATTGACTTTGATAACTTACAACAGGGGCTTGCTTTAACTTGAACTTTCCATGTAACTAACTACCTTTAATAACCATTCATAGTAACAGTGTTTATTTAATTTAATAGCCCATGCATAACCTTTTATGCTCCTCATCATCCCTCTAGTTATGTTATGTGCATTCTTTACACATTACACGCAGAACAAAAGGGCCAATAACACCCATGCCAATTTCAGCTTCAATTTTGTGATTTTTAGTGCTCAATGTTACCTTTCCATTTTAAACCGTAACATGGAAAGTGGATATTAAAAAGATGCAATTTGTATATGTTTAAATTGATGAGAGAGTCAAATTCTTAATTAAGAATGATTAAATTGAAAGACTGATAACCATATTAGATTATTGCTATTTCACCACACGCATTTGGAGGGCCCTTGCCGTGTTTAGTGGAAACGAGGTCGTATTCAATTATTCATCCTCTTCACAGTGCTTGTTTCGTCTTAACGTTGAAAAGCAATGTCTTTTTACAAAATTCCTTCGCTGCAAAATTACATATTTTAAAAAAATTATTCAATTATAAAATGGTTCATTTTTATATTCAATTCTGTATTTAATTTATATTTTTTCGACGTTAGATGTAAGTTATTGAGAATAAAAAACCTCAAAATTTTATTATATCCCATAGTGAAAAGGAACACATGCAATAAGGACGCATTCCTAAATTAGCAAAATGTATTAAAAAGAAAAAGAAAAAACAAACAGAAGAAAGAGAATTTTGGTTTTGTAAATTATAAAACCTTGTTAATTTAAATGGAATTTTGTCATGGCATTAGATAAGTGAGTTGAGTTTGCGGTTTACAGCGTGTTTGGATTCGTTAAAATGGTTATAAATTAACGATTAATTTATCAAGCATAATCATTAATGATTGTGCAACGGGGCAGGGAACGGAATGATTAATGTAGAATACTATGTTTATCCCAGAAATTAAAATGAAAATGACAGTGGATGAAAGAGTAAATAATATTAAAAAGAAAAAGAAAGAAATAAATAGTGGAAATTAAAAACCTGAGAAAATTCAAAGAAAGGGGCCTAATGCGAAGTACTGGCAATTTTCCACACGGTTTGGCGCTATAAGAGTAAACAAAAGAGGGAGAGAGTATGGTGAGGAAGTGGCTCTGGCAATAGAAAGAGATTCCACAGTGGAACCATGGTTGTGAAGAAAAGCCACCTCTTCTTCTTCTGTTTATTCTTCTCCCTCTTTCTCTTCATTAACGCTAAGCTCCATTTTCACCCTTCAGACCTCAAGGCTCTCTTGGCTCTACAAAACGAACTCGGAGTCAACGGTCAACTCCGAGCAACAACCACCGCAAATCCCTGTGACACCGAGGGCGTGTTCTGTGAAAGGAGACTCTCCAACAAGGAAACCTACGTGCTCCGAATCACAAGACTCGTGTTCAAATCCAAGCACCTCAATGGTGTCTTGTCCCCTACCATTGGACGCCTCACAGAGCTAAAAGAACTCTCTCTCCCCAACAACAAACTCGTTGACCGAATCCCACCCCAAATCGTTGACTGCAGAAAACTCGAAATCCTCGACCTCGGTAACAACCTCTTCTCCGGCGAAGTCCCTTCGGAACTCTCCTCGCTCACGCGCCTGCGCGTGCTCGACGTCTCCTCCAACAAACTCTCCGGCAACCTTAACTTCCTCAAACACTTCCCAAACCTCGAAACCCTCTCCATCGCCGACAACCTCTTCACAGGAAGAGTCCCAAACTCCGTTCTCTCATTCCGCAACCTCAAACACTTGAACTTCTCCGGTAACCGTTTCCTCGAAGGCTCACTCTCTCTCAACAAACGTTTCCCTCACCCACCATTAGATAACTCTCTCCCGAAACGTTACATCTTAGCCGAAACCCCTTCAACCAATGACAACATTAACAACGCTCCCGCACCTTCTCCAAAATCCTCGCACAAGAATAACACCAAAGGTTCTCATACTTCTGCATCAGCTCCTTCTCCTTCTTCTTCAACTCACCACCATCACAAGTCGAATAAGAGAAAACTGGTAGGGTGGATTCTGGGTTTTTTGGCTGGGGCAGTGGCTGGAACCATTTCAGGTTTCATATTTTCCTTGTTGTTTAAGCTAGCTTTGGCTTTGATAAAGGGCAGAGGGAAGAGTGGAGGACCTGCTATTTATAGTCCTTTGATTAGAAAAGCAGAGGATTTGGCTTTCTTGGAGAGAGAAGAGGGTTTGGGTTCGTTGGAAATCATTGGAAGAGGAGGGTCTGGAGAGGTTTACAAAGCCGAGTTACCAGGAAGCAATGGTAAATGGATTGCTATAAAGAAGATTGTTCAGCCTCCAAAAGATGCTGCTGAATTGGCAGAAGAAGATAGCAAGCTTCTGCACAAGAAAATGAGGCAAATTCGGGCTGAGATCAACACTGTGGGTCAAATTAGACACAGAAATCTTCTTCCTCTTTTAGCACACGTTTCTAGACCCGATTGCCACTACCTTGTGTATGAGTTCATGAAGAATGGGAGCTTGCAGGATACGTTGAGTAAGGTTGAAACTGGTGAGAGTGAATTGGATTGGATATCAAGGCACAAGATTGCTCTTGGTGTTGCTGCAGGACTTGAGTACCTTCACACGAGTCACAGTCCACGCATAATTCATAGGGATCTCAAGCCTGCCAATATTCTTCTTGATGATGACATGGAGGCTCGAATTGCAGATTTCGGACTCGCCAAAGCCATGCCCGATGCTAAGACTCACATCACAACTTCCAATGTCGCTGGAACTGTGGGTTATATCGCTCCAGAGTATCATCAGATTCTCAAGTTCACTGATAAGTGTGATATATATAGCTTTGGGGTTATACTTGGTGTGTTGGTTATTGGAAAGCTTCCTTCTGATGAGTTCTTTCAGCACACTGATGAGATGAGCTTGGTGAAGTGGATGAGGAAGGTCATGACTTCGGAGAATCCCAAAGAGGCTATTGATTCAAAACTTTTGGGGAATGGATATGAGGATCAAATGCTTCTGGTTTTAAAAATTGCTTGCTTTTGCACCATGGATGATCCTAAGGAGAGGCCTAATAGTAAGGATGTTAGGTGCATGCTGTCACAGATCAGCCACTGAGTCAGTATGTTATATAATGTGTACAATGTTAAGTGTGCTAGTTTAAGAATATCAATTATAGTCAGATCATACAAGTTGGTTCATAAGGTAAATAATGAACCGATGTAATGTTTTCTTCATCACAGATTGCTGAATTTTTAAAAGAAAAACAAAGATGGGTAGACAAATTCAGCTTTGCGATGACTCGTGTCTGTCACTACCAGTTTGTCTATGTTTATGTGCTGACAATGAAAAATAAAATACTTTTACGCTGTTACCCTTTTCATTCGATTGTTGTTACTGTTAAAGATAGATAAGCATAAGAATATTCTCCATTGAGTAGCTTCTACGTGACTAAGAAACTCTGGCTCTGCAATAGACAGCATTGCAAGTAAAATAGTTTCTGCACAACAGTCAAGGTGTGTTGCTGCCATTTTTCTACAATCTATATGCTAAGTCAACACAATCATAGTCTATAAGCTAGCGCAAATGTTTTTCTCGTTTAATATAGGTGAGCCTGTGATAAATTTTACATTGAATCACGAGTCATTTGAGTAATAACTCAAACAAATCTGGCAAGACCCTGAATGATGAAGGGAAAAAAACACGAGTGACAAACTCTTGGATACGGACGATATAGATTGTGTGTAGGAATTTTTTTTAATCCTCTTAGAATTCTATATTACAAATATATATATATATATCACGTCAAATTGTCAAGAGAGAAAGAAGGTTTGAAGAATATTTAGATTTACAGAGCCTGATGAAATAAACATAATAAAGTGTGAATTTTATTTGAATGAGATATTGGAACCATGACTATTATATTTTAAACATATTAGAGTTCTAATTATTTTTAATGGGTCTAAATTTAATTTTTACTTATTAAATTTGTATTTTTTTATTAATAGTGTAAAAAATTTACTAAAATTAAATTACTTATATTAAAATCATAGAAAATATAAATAACTTATAAATGTTATAAATAATATGTATCATAATTTATTTTAATAAAAATATAATATTTCTAACGTTGTGAACACAAATGTAAGAAACAACGGTTAGTGGCCAAATATTTTGGGAAAGAAGCATTACATGGCATGTAATAAATCCCAGTAATGATAATCTTACGTTGCACTTCGTACAATTTTCCTTATTAGTTAGATTCTACGTGTAAATGGGAAAGAGAGGAAAAGGACACATGAGTTTGTGTGTTGGGAGTGGTCGTGCAACGAGGAAAGATATGAACATAGGAATAATTTGTTTGTTCTGGGAAATAAAAACATGGCCAAACACGATGGGTGTTCTTTGGTTTGAGATATTCAGTTAACACGGACGAGAAAGACGTGTGAGTAGCTGTTTCTTTAGTCTATTTTTATAAAAAACAATTCATCGGCCTCCTCTTGAAAGAGTATATTTTAGTTTCAACTCTTCTAGTATTATGTCACGCATTGGTGTAATGTTTGTTAATTTTTTTAATTTTAATTTTATAGATTAATATTATTTAATCCTTAGATCAGTGGCATTTTTTTATTATGGTTTTTTTTTGTTTTGTTTTAAATTTACTAAAATATTGCTTTTTTGACAAATTTATTTAAATAAGTTTTTTTATAAAAAAAAACTAATAATTTTAATTGTTAGGTAATTAGTTGTGATTAAAAATAATTAATAATTTTAAATGCATAAATTAATAGTTTTTTACTACTAAAAATTGTTAATAGCGAGATTTGAAAAAAAAAAAAGTAAAAAAAACAATCCAAAAAATGTGATAGGCAAACTTTTGAAAAAAAAAAGTTTTTCTAATGGTCAAAATTCGTTAATGATCACTTTTGACCCTAATAAATTATTAAAAATATCTTACTTATTGGTAAATTATTATTTTTAAAAAAAATCATTATAGGCAATTTTTAATTTTTGAAATTATAAAAACTACAATCTTTATTGATAGGAAGTGGCTTATGAAAGTTTTTGAAGCATTTGCTAGTCCATAAGTTTTGGTCATTTGTGCTTCTTAAAAAAGATAAGGGTGAAAATTCTAGTATACTTTAACAGTGAGGTTGTAACAAATACGAGTGAAAGTGTGACATTTACATGTAAGAAACAAATAAGTATGTATATTCCATATAATGTATAATTTGGAGATTTAAAGTATTAGTTTTGTTAATGTATTAAAGTCTAGTTTCTAAACACGGTGAAAAATGTGTATTGGTGTTCAATTTCGATATTTGACAGTTTTAAATATCATACAATTCTAATAACTAACGACAATGATATTCAACAAATATTTCAAATACGTCATCTCCTAAATTGTACCATTAAGTTGTATGTTGTTTTAAAAAAATAATGATGTTCAAGAAGCATATGCAATCACCATACTAGACATAAATATAGAATGAGAACAAAACAACATCAAAAGTAATGACAACAACTTTGAAGGAGAATATAGAAGTGATGAGCAAAGTAATGAGAATTTTGATGATGAGGAGGAGGAGGAGGAGGAGCCCCATTTAGTTGGGCAACATCCATTTGGAGAGTCATGACAAATTGTTATTTCTTTTTTTTTTTTTATTCATTTTGTATAGTTTTATGTTTTTAATTTTTTTTCTTGCAATAAAATCAAGAAATTTGAGACGAGTCATTTAATGTTGATTGATCTAGATTTGCAAGTTTGACTAAAATATCCAATTGATATTTTTTTCTACATTTAATTTTCCCATTTAATGCAATTGGACATTCTGTATTTCTAAATTTATTGTATAAGAGGTTTAATTTTGTTGGATATTCACATACATGATGTAACACCCTCTTTATCATTTATTTGTCAATTGATGAATTGTTTGATATTAGATAGTGTTAGAATGTGATTGTGAATGATTTAGGAGTGTTTTAATAGAAGTCTAGTGCAGGAGATCTCGCTCAAACGAGACAAGTCTAGCTCAAGTGAGGCTGAGCTCTCAGAACCACAAGATTTCAAGATATTCTTGCTCAAGCGATATGATTCTCATTTAAGTGAGAATGGGATAAACTCAGTCCAACTATCATCTCGTCTAGGCGAGAGTGATCTCGCTCAGGCAAGCAGAGATCTTGCCCAGGTGAGATGAGTTGCTTAGGCGAGAACTCACAGGAAAAACATACAACTCTTTAGACATAATCTCGCTCAGACGAGGAGCTTACTCAAGCGAGAATATCATAAAATAGTTAAGGAGACCACTGTCTGCATATTTCGCCCAGACGAGACAAGTCTAGCTCAAGTGAGGCTGAGCTCTCAGAACCACAAGATTTCAAGGTATTCTTGTTCAAGCGATATGATTCTCATTTAAGTGAGAATGGGATAAACTCAGTCCAACTATCATCTCGTCTAGGCAAGAGTGATCTCGCTCAGGCAAGTAGAGATCTTACTCAAGCGAGAATATCATAAAATAGTTAAGGAGACCACTGTCTGCATATTTCGTCCAAACGAAAATATCATCACTCAAGCGAGAATCTGCTCGCTTAAGCGAGCACACGTGATAATTCAGGGGTATTTAAGGAATTCCATAACTGAGACTTTTATTACAATCTAAGAAACATTTCCTAATTTTTGCTCTGAACTCTCTCTTCCCTCCTTTAGAGAAAGGCCTCTAAAACTTTAAAGTTATTATGAAACCGAGCTTAAACTTCAAATTTGCGGAATCATTGGTGAGTATCTCAAAGCTTAACTCTTCGTTCTTACCTCTATTTTCTCAGTTTGTTCTCTTCTCAAAGAGTACTCTTCTTTGTAATGTATAGGAAGATCTTAGCTTGTTGGACCACTTTTTTCACTAAACTTGTTTACTGAGGTAAAGAGGGCTCTATTTCGTTATTGAAAACATGATTTTTTGTACTCGTATGGATGTGGTTATGTTTTCTTGTTTATGATTATATGTCTAAATGATCTTGTTGATAACATGAGTTTTCTTGTCCTTGATGAATTGAAATGGTGTGTGTATTGGAAATAAATGTATTTAAGAGATGAACTTAAACAAATTAGGGAAAAAAATGAATAATATGTTAGTATGAAGATAATAAGTTCAGGCTATAATGACTAATGAGAGGAGTAAAGCTAAAATGAAAAACATGGAAATGAGATGAGAAACATGAAAAGAGAAATGGAATAAAAAAGAAAAATGATAAGGATAAGTATGAATAGTTTAAAGATATAGTGAAAGTATGTAAGATAGAGGCGATTTGGGAAATCTTAGATAAATGATGGTGGTGGATACTCTTCTTAAATTGCGCATAACAACTGAGAGTAAGAGTACCATAGGCCTCACACTTATTTTTTGACTTAAACTCTTGATCATACTTTTGTTAAAAGGAGTCGAGTTGGCACACTTTGTATCTGTATAATTGTGGCTATCCAACAACTATCTATGCTAAGTAAGACTTCAAGGGATCCCAAGGTCACTGAAAGCATGAAATTAGAATTTCAAGAATTAGTAGAAAGAAAGTATGATAAATTGAATAGTTGATAGTTTTGTATAAATATGGATATGATTGTATTGTGTGATTGATTAATGTGTTATCCTTACTTGTATTATTTTGACTTAAATGTGATTTCATGTTGATAATGAGAAGAGAGGTTCATCCTTACATAACTTTTTAGGGAATAAAGATGACAGACCCACAGGGACTTGTTAGTTTGTTTGAGTTACTTATCACCAGTAGAATAGATCATGTAGCTAGGGAGTGACAGCAGTTATACTATTGTAGTTTTATTGTACGTAGTAATGATAGTTCTAGTTTTATATTTACCTTAGAGATGACTATAGGATATGATGTACCCTTATATTACCCTAGCAGTGGTAGAATCCACCATACTATATGTGTAGTTATATACAAAGGTTTGACTAGGCCACCAAATGAATGAAATTATGTTTCTATTTTTCTGAGTCACGATTAACATGGGAGACCAAGCCATTGTATCGCTGAGTAGATCACAGGCCCTGAATTGGTAGCTAATGCAGGTGACTTTGGTGAAGACGAATACTTATCCCTAGAAGAAATAACAGAGATAGAGGGATAGTTTGGGGATGATGACTAGTATCATCTTTGGTCTTTTAATAGATAGACTACTCATTAGGACTTGTCAATATTTTTTTATATTTTATAAATATTGTATATGAGTCCTAATATATTTTAAAGTTACATTTTGTTAATATTAACCTCTTGCAAATTATTGATAACAATGTACATTAATGTTATTTCGACTTTCTACTTATGTTTGTTTATTTTCTATTGTTTTGTCATTTAAGTTATTA